AATCAAGAGGGAACTTTTACTTCCGGCCGTAACGTAACACCTCCATTTCTCCGCCAATATTGAGTTTTTTTCAATTTTGTTTTCAGAAATTAGAGATTACTCTTCGATCATTACTTTGAACCAAAAATCCAAATTTGAAGAAAATTGCCGATCTGAAGGTATACTGTAACCTTAAGGGTTCCATTCTCAACAGTTGCACGTCCTTTCGGCAATGACGTAAATGCCTTTGACCACTGAATTACAGGAGGTGGAGAACCAAAGGCTCTGCAGACAACAGAGGCTACTTTACCCTCCTTTACCTTTATAACTTGATCGGGAATCTCGGTGAATTGTGGAGGCACTTGAGAAATAAAACAAACAAGCAAAAATACCGCTAACCCAAGATGATCCTTTGATTCAGGTTATTATTAGAAATTAGAGAGCTTATCAACAAACCACGACGACAACGGCAACAAGGACATCACCAAACAGAAGATTTAACGCGCAGAAATATGGCAATGCACCAGCGTTATAAGTTTTGTATATTTCTTAGGGCCCAACCTCTGCAAACGAAAACAAAAAAAAACAAAAAAAAAAACGTAAAATCACTAAGTCTGGGTAGTTTGCAAAACCTGGGCCACGACGGCTATTTTTCGGATTTTCTTTTGGGGTTGATCGCTGACGTTGCATATTTACTTCGAGCAAGTTTTTAGGCCGAACAGCGGGCTGAACAGATCTAATTAAATAATTGCGAAATAGGCAAAACATAAATCCCTTTTTCACTAGTCCTTAACGTCGCTGCCGTCATTGTTTAAGGTCCCTATTAATCAGAAGGGCTCTAAGGACAATAAGAATTTTGCAAGAACTGTCAAGTTTCTAAAGCCCTTATTATTAGATTGTCAAGTAAAAAGGTAAAGTCTGCATACGAGCCAAGTGGCTCATCAGGCCGGCGCTTATCACCGGTTTCCGTAGCATGAAGCGACTAGGAGTTTTTCTACTCTCCCCTGGATGGAATGCAAGGTCATCCCAGGGTGAACCCTCGCATTAAATTCGCCCTTACCCATTTATTCTGGGTGGGGAGAGGCACTGTTAGAGTTAAGTGTCTTGCCCACGAACACAACACAATGTCCCCGGCCAGGGCTCTGCCGATAATATAACTCGGACCGCTCGATCCCGAGTCGACCGCACTAACCATGAGGCCACAGCACCTCCACAGATTGTCAAGTGGAGAGCATGAAATTGCAAATCATTTGTTGAAGATTTATACATATGATCTTCAGGAAATCTATTTATGTGACTGTAAATCTCGTCACAAAACAAATCTGACATAAATTACGGCATACGTAGTCTTTTTAAGGACTCCAGAGTAAAAGAGGAAAAGTAATATAGCAAACCTTCTACGAGAAGTTTCGCTTCTTTCTCAACTTGTCCCAAGATATTTGTAGCTGTGCAAAGGTACTTCCCAGAGTCATTGTAAGTAGCATTTATAATCTCCAACTTGTTGTCTTTATCATCCATATTTATCAGTTTTTTGCCACTTATTTTACTCCAGGACACGCTAGGTACTGGGTAACCCTCAGCTGAGCAGTAAAACGTGGCGGTCTGGTTCTGAGTCACAGTGAGTGACGTAGGAGATACAATCAACACTGGTGCAGATACGGACTTCCCGGCATCACCTTTAGGTCCCGGTTGCCCGGGAGCTCCCGTATTTCCTACAGCAAGTTAGATGTCAACAATAAAACACATACTTTTAAATTTGGAAAGCAAGCATGCCGAAATATAGTTGCCGTACAAATATCAAGCTCCGAGTACATTTACAAAATCGTCCCTAGATATATTTCTGATAAAGTGCGAAGATTTGGCAGCTTTTATTGTCGTCTACCCAGTCACTATTTTGGTTGTCAGTGGGGGAGGAGTGTTACGTGACGATCAAAGTAACGGGTTCGTAGGGGGCTACCTTTTATGTAAATACCATAAATACTCGAATTAGCGACCGGGGTGCGTATTTCAAATTTAGAAGAGGACGCAGGGAGCTTATTATCTTAAGAGAAGTTTTTCGTACAGCGGAACTCAGTTGTGGAACAACTTACCTATAGACCTAAGTCAAGCATCCACACTGGCCGATTTTACATCTAAATTAAGTCGCCACAGTTTAAAGTAATATCTTAATTTGAAGTAAATTTTTAGACACGGCCTCCATGAAAAGCAGTTTTTTTTTCTTAAATTTTTATTGTAGTTAAGCAGATAGGTAGATAGTCCAGTAACTTTGTTGACTGATGGAAAAACCGTGTATAAATAAAGTTATCTTCTCTTATCTTATTCGAGGGAGACGCTTAAATGAGGTTAAGGGGGACGGGGGTGGGGAGGAAGGGCGCTTATTTAATATTTCCCAAATCGTGGTCAGATATGATCGTTTTTCTTTTTAAATCTATGTATGTGTCAGTCTCTCAGAAGTCTCATAAGGATCCTGTTTCTCTTTTAAAAGAACTACGTAATATAACCCGGCTCTTAAGCGGGTCAAGCTCTGCTGCCCAAAGTTGGTTGAGCTTTAGGCAATCAACCAGCAAATCTTCAGCACCACTTCCATAAAACGGGGGCAGGAGGGGGGGGGGAGGGCGCTTATTCGAGAGGAGGCGCTTATTTTAAATTTTGGCCGATAGGATGTGCGCTTATCCGAAAGGGGTGCTTATTTGAGGGGAGGCGCTAATTCAAGGATTTACAGTATTGAAAAAGTAATTAACTCCCTCCCACACCCTACTTCGATCTTAATAGAGATAAAGCAGTTCAGTCACGGTACTTTGGCCAAGTACAAAATAATTACATTTACATTGAAGGAAACCTGAAAATATTTGATAGAAAAACACAAAAGAGATAATATTAAATCATAAAGGAAAAAGGATGGCTAAGGATGGAGAACATTGACACGAATTGCAAACGACGAATTTGAGAAAAGGCTAAACTTTTCAAGAAGTGCAAATCAATGCATAAAATCCTTTACCTTTTTCTCCTTTTATTCCAGCTGGTCCAGTGTCCCCCATCATGCCTTGCTTCCCCTGTTCACCTGGAGGTCCCATGATACCCTGCGTTCCCTTTCTTCCCTTAGTTCCTCTCGGCCCACGTTTACCGCGAGGACCGGGGGGCCCTGATACACAAACTTTTCCAGGGGCAAGGCAGACAGATCCAACGATTATCGATGTGACATATCTCTTGATCATGTGCTGAACATCTTGTGTACCGACAGAGCCGTTAATGTTTGCTGGGACCACGCTTCGTCGAACAATAGTACCTTTGTATTCAGTGCCTTTAGAGAAGAAAATACATTTTAAACACTTTCCCTACGGTTTAATTTTTTGATTCGGCCGGATTTCAAACAGAATTTATAGAGCATTGTAAGAGAGATGAAATTTCATCTCTCTACGATGCTAATCTTTCAGTGGCTTATTACGGTCACATAAGGGAACATGTTTGTTTCGGGGATCATATCTGACCCGTAATTCACGAAACGAAATACGCGAGGTCACTGGTTTCTAATGTGTCTCAACAGATTTTTATAACAGTGTGGAAACAAGCGCACGTTTATAACCATGAAATATAGGTAAGGTAAAAATAATGCCCCCCTCCCTAAACAGAATCTAGGGATTTTCTCGTTGCTACTTTAAAATCTTCAGGTGGCATGATTGATGTACTAGTCGATTGGAAATTGGTTTCTTTTGTATGCCAGCACAGTAGCATGGCGTTACAAGGGAGGTATATCTGATAACATTTTCCCAGATGCGCACTGAACTTGCCACGTAAAGAAAACGGCATGCGCATGTAAAGACACGGCAATTTAAGGTTACCGTATACCTTCAGGGGTGTCTCACGTCCAAGCGATGTAGCGCGTTCGGTTTAAGCTGTAGATACCTAAACCCCTATATCAAATT